TACTACTTCTTCCTCTCTCTCTCTCTCTCTCTCTCTCTCTCTCTCTCTCACACACACACACACACTCACTCCTTCTTCTTCTTCTTCTTTGATTGTTCCCTCGCTCCAGCACTCGTTTCGCCCACCCTCTTCTTCGCTTTCTCACTATCACCCAAATTAGAATCTGAGCTAATAATGCAGACCTCATCCACGACCTCTTCCTTCACTTTAATATTGTCAATCACTTTACCAGCATCTCCAGAGTCGGTTTCGTTTATTTCTTTTTCAGATGATTTGCCCGGTTCTCGTTTTATTACAACTGGGGGGCTTGAAGTAGTAGCAGCTTGCGTTTCTTTGCTAGAAGTTCCACAAATAGGAGCCTTCCCTGAAAGAACAGGAGGGCCTCCGCTTTCCCCAGCTCTACAGAGAGAGTTAATAGTAACTGGTTCATGAGTAGAAACATTGCTCAAAGGCTGAGGGGTAGTTCTTTGAGCTTCGGGCAGAAAAAGGGCAATGGGTGCTTCAACTCTCTTGGCCTTATCGAAGGTTGCATAAAGCTTGATCTTTGATTTTATGATCTCTGGCAACGGATTCCTCACAGTAGAGTCGCCTAGAAAAATGATTATGGAGAGATTAATCATCAAAAAAGTAGTGGGATATGGATTTTACACAATTTCACAAATCTATCACTCATAAATCTGAAAGAAAATGAAATTTGAGTCTTAAGATAATCCATTTTCTAACCTACTCTTGGAATGATAAATATAAAGTCTTTGAAGATCATCAGATCTACACCATACTTGGAGCCCCAAATTCATTATCTTATGCAGAAACGAAGTTGCAGCGGTTTATGATGTGTTTTAGGTCCAAAAAAAACCAATGCTGACACAAGCCATTGCATTCATCAAAAAAATCACAAAAAAGATTCCCCATCATCATTCCATCACATGAATCATGTTCCGTCATTCCACTCTTATCAAGGGCCATACCCTCAGTTAGCTTATAGGGAAGCCCTAGCATGAGCATATAACATTGGTTCGAGATTCATGAAAAGATCGGGGCAAAATTTTACACTGGCTATCCACCTAACACAACCCTCATTTCTCCTGGCTTGGGACCAAATGATCGACTTGGAATTGGCCATGGTGGAGTTCATCAAGAAAAAGATTCATCAACATCATCATCAGAGCCTTATCCCGATTATTTAGAATGAAAAAAAGATTAATGATAAAAAAAATTAAAGTGAAAAAGATCGACAATAAAAAACTTATTATTTTATTGAAAAAGAAAAAAATCTCAAGAACAGACATGAAATTAAAGTGAGGCATATGGTCTACTCAAAGGACTACAGAAGTCATAGTCCACTATGGGTCCATGACCAAAAAATAAAAAACAGAGGTCAAGGAGAGAGTAGGTCCAGCCATAGTTAGCAAAACGGGTAACAACAATACATCTGTAAACCAAAAGGTCATATCCAATTCAATCTTTGCTCCAAAAAAATGGAGCCAAAAAACAAAATGAGTAACAGAAAATGGAGCTTCAGAAAATTGTGGATCAAAAAAGTGTAATTAGTTCTGATTTGACTAGAAAAACAGGCAAATATGTGTGTATAGATGTGAACGGGGAGGCCAACACTTTAAAAAAAAAAAAACAACTCAAGTCACAAGCAATCAACTAATAAACCAATACTAACTTATAACCCAATGAACCACAAGATATTTAACAAAAATAACAACGAACAAAATTAAGGTAATCTTTAAAACTATTTTGAAAAGTGATTTAAGAAAAAACTAAAATAAAGTAATATTTTGTTTTATTCAACAAGTGTAGTTTTTTTTTTTTTTTAATATTCATTATTTTAGTATAGATCCTTTTAAAATCTTTTTAAAAAGATAAAAAAAATTAAATTCAAAAGAACACGCGTTATAGGGAGTTTTGCCAAATATGGGCTCAACACTAGAATCCTGTCCACCCCTGGTCAGTCCCATTCTCTCTCCATTGCAGTCTGTCGTATCAATGGAAGGTGATGATCCCAATGCAGTATGGTTTTGCAAGGTTCATTACATTGCCTTCTCAATGGAGGAAAATACAGTATGCTTGCCATCAAGTATACCATGGTCATGCAAATGGACAGTTCAGATTGGTATGGATAGAATTCAGCCATACAAGTGAGGAAGACGATAGTTTGCCTCTCATGACCAATTCTTTTGTAGGAAAGCATGGCATATCATATGCATTGCACCATTAGTATGCTACACATAATCTCCAAGCAAAGTTCTTAATGAGGAAGAACAGATCATTTCTGACACTGATCATCGTGAATGGATGATGAACTATATGGCATATAATGACTCAAATAATATACCACTCTGGGATAAGTATTATATGATCCATAAATAAGGCCATTATAACAGCATGAGCCAAAAAGGGTTATCACTTCTCTAGTAATGGACCAGAAGTGGATGGACGGGGGGAGGATAAACTAAATTAGTGACATGTTTGTGGTACCCACTCTCTCACTCACCATCCAACCTACTCACAGGATGGTGATAACCCTACTCAATTATGGGCAAATTATCAAGATAACAACATCTGCATTATGCATAATGGTCAGGGTTATTACCATCAAATCAATACGTTCGAGGGTTAGGGAGGGACAGTGGATCCCACCAAACATGTCACTGGTTCAAATTAACCTCCCATGCTCCATCCATCCTCGTCCTGTCCATTGAATGGATAGTGATAATCCCTTTCATTCACGTTGTTATTATGACATGTATAGATGCATCCTAGCATCCTAGAAGGGAATCAGGAAGCTCCACAATACATGTGCCATATTATTTTTATAAGTTTATGCCATATGCATATGTAACGAGAGAGAGAGAGAGAGAGAGAGAGAGAGAGAGAGAGAGATGC